TTCGATGCTTGGTCGATCTACGCTTTCCACCGGGATAATACGTCGAAGGTCGGGGTCCGACGTAGATGCTAATGCGGCGAGAGCGTCAGCCGGCGCGTTATCTCCTCGCGGGATTTTGGTTAGTTCGAAGTGTGTAAACTGTGAGGATAATTTCTTGACGACCCTGAGGTATGCCTCCATAGTGTCGTTTTTGGCTTCGTATTCGCCGCTAAATTGATTTGCGACGAGCTGTGAGTCAACGTATGCTTGGACTCGTTTGATCTTCATTCCTAGAGCGAGACGTAGACCGGCAATGAGTGCTTCGTATTCGGAGACATTATTTGTTGCCGTAAAGCGCAGACGAAACGATTGCTCGATTATTTCCCCGGTTGGTGAGACCAGTCGTATGCCGACGCCAGAGCCATGCGATGACGAGGACCCGTCGGCGTACAGCGTCCAGACGCCGTTCTGAGGGTCGCCAGGCTCGGGGTCTCCGCTTAGGTTTTTTGGAATGAGCGGTAGTTCAATAAGGAAGTCGGCTAAAACTTGCGATTTCATTGCTGGTCGGGTCCTGAAGTCCATATCGTATTCGCTGAGCTCGATTGCCCATTTAGCCATCCTCCCAGACTGGCTCGGACTGTGTAGGGCGGTTCGTAGTGGTTGGTCGGTGAGAACGGCGATTGTGTGGGATTGAAAGTAGGGACGTAATTTCCTTGCAGATGTTACGACCGCTAGCGCAGCTTTTTCCATTGTGGGATAGCGTGTCTCGGCTTCGATAAGGGATTTGCTGACATAAAAGATCGGCTTCTGGTCGCCTCGGTCATTTTTAACAAGCACACCGCTCACGGCCGAGCTGGATACCGCGATGTATAGAAATAACGTTTCGCCGTTTTCTGGCTTAGCGAGAACCGGGGGCGTCGTGAGGTACTGTTTGAGTTCGTTGAAAGCATTTTCGCTCGCTTCATCCCATGCAAACTTGTCCTTTCTTTTTAAGAGGTTATAGAAGGGTAAGCACTTGTCCGTCGATCTGGCGATGAAGCGGTTGAGTGCGGCGATCCGTCCTATTAGTCGCTGCACCTCGCGTGCATTTTTTGGAGAAGGCAGATCGAGGATTGCGCGAATTTGCTTTGGGTTGGCTTCGATCCCCCTTTGTGTGACCATGTACCCTAGGAACTCGCCGGATGTTACGCCGAACGTGCATTTCGCGGGGTTTAATTTCATATTGTATTCGTTCAGTACGTCGAAGCATTGGCTTAGGTGTCGGACATGGTCGGCTGCTACTAGAGATTTTACCAGCATGTCATCTATGTAAACTTCGATGGTTTGTCCGAGATGATCGGCGAACATCTTATTTACCAAACGTTGGTACGTCGCGCCGGCGTTCTTGAGGCCGAATGGCATCACCTTGTAGCAATAGGTTCCTCGGTCTGTGATGAACGAGGTCTTTTCCCTATCATCCCTGTGCATGAGGATTTGATTGTATCCCGAGAATGCATCCATGAAGGACAGAAGTTCGTTCCCGGCGGTTGCTTCGACTATCCTGTCGATGTGGGGGAGCGGGTAGCTATCTTTTGGGCACGCCTTATTGAGGTCGGTAAAGTCTACACAAACACGCCATTTGCCGTTCTTCTTCTTCACCACGACCGGGTTCGCCAGCCATTCCGGATATTTTACCTCGGTTATCGAGCCAGCCTTCAATAGCTTATCGACTTCGTCATTTACGGCTCTGGCTCGCTCCGGTCCCAACTTTCGCCTTTTCTGCTTTACCGGTTTATAGGTTGAGTCGACGTTAAGCTCGTGCGTAACGATCATAGGGTCGATGCCTATCATGTCGTCTACGCTCCAGGCGAACGTCTTAGAATTCTTTTTTAGGAACGCGATGAGTGGTTCTTTAACCGATGGTACTATCTCGGCCCCAATTGCGACGCATCTTGTCTTATCCGTCTCGTCAATATTCACTTGTTCTGTTCTGCTCAGTTGAGGCTTTTCGAGGGACTTTTTTAGGGTCGGGACGGTCGACGATGTTGGCATCGTTAATTGCTATAACTTCTTAGCGACGCGGTTCTTGTGTTCGATGAGAAAACATGTTCTTGCGATCTGTTGATTCCCTCTCAAGGTGAACACTCCGTTGTGCGTCGGGAACTTGATGCACTGGTGGTACGTGGACGGGATCGCCTGCATTTGATGCATCCAGGGTGTCCCCAAAATGACGTTGTAAACTGCGGGCTTGTCAACTACGACGAACTTGACCCACGAGATCGTTCCTCCGACGAATACGGGCAGCTTGATCGTTCCGATTGTCATTACGAAGTCACCATCGAATCCGGCCAACGGGCGCGATACGGGTTTTATTTGCCGATCGCTGACGTTCATTATAGCCAAAACGTCCTTGAAGATGAGGTCGACCGAGCTTCCAGTATCGATGAGCACTCTAGTTACTCGGCTATCGCCGATGATGAGTTCGACGACGAGAGGGTCGTTATGCGGTGTATCGACGCCCTCCAGGTCGGATTGGGTAAACGATATAGGTTCGTCGTCGGGCGTAGTTGGTGGTGCGCTCGTGGACGGCCACACTTCCTTCATTTCAGCTTTTTTGCGATGTTGTTTAATTGACCGAACTGAATCGTTGCAGTTTTGCAGCCCGCCCATTATCATTCGGACCTGTCTGACGACCACCGGAGCTTCGGCTGGTGCCTTTCCATTCCGAGGTCTTTTGGCGGAATCATTCGCATCCTCGACTTCCTCGGTTTTCGCGTGGTCTTGTAGGTATTGACGAGCCGTGCTCTCGTTACGCTTTTGATTCTTACTTCCTTGGGCGCGGTCGCACTCGATCGCGATGCTTCCGCTCTTATATTTTGCCATCAGCAAGCTTTGCAGATACCGGCAATCCTCTGTGGCGTGCGCTCTACTTTGATGGTACTCGCAGAATATTGACGTCGATGCCGGGGAATCGGTGTCCCTTACATATTTGTTCCACGGCCTCGGTGATGGTGTTTCGCTGTTAACGACGAAGGTCGTAGGTCGTCGTGCCTGGCCGATGTTGCCTTTGGAATGTTGCTTTGGCTCGGCGTTGTTTGCTGTGTTAGGTATCACCGAAGCAGTCTCCTTGGTTACGGATGTTTTGGGCGGATTATGCTTTTTAGCTAGAACGAGCCGCTCTTCTTCGAGCTCGATATACCGCGAGGCTCTATGAAGTGCGTCCTCGAGAGTATTCGGAGCATGAAGAGTGATATCGTCTCTATACTTTGAATCGTACCAGACGGCGTTGCGTAGGGCTACTATCGCGGCCTCGTCAGGGATGGTGATTTTGGTTACTACCACCTTGAAGCGATCGATGAATGATCGGAGTGATTCCTTGGAGCCTTGCGATAGGGACCACAGGTCGGCGTTGGACGTCTGGTTCTCGATGAGAGGTGAGTAATGCTTTAGGAAAGACGACGACAATTGGTTGAAGCTGCTGATCGTGTTTGGCTTTAGGCGGGAGAACCAGTTGAGAGCTGGGCCCGTGAGATGTTCGATGAAGATCTGGCACCGCCCTGCCTCGAAGTTTTCTGGAGTCAGCTCGGCGCGGTTAATCGCGACGCTGAAAGATTGCAGAAATTCCTTAGGGTCGCCTTTTCCGTTGTACCTTTCCAATTTGATTTTCTTGGATCCGCGGACGGAGACGCTTGTGATTCTTCGGGTGAAAGCGGTTTGCTGAGTTTCCTCGAGCACACGGTCGAGTTCTGGAGCCGAGCTAGTGGCACGATGAATTTTTGAGCTCATTTCCAGGACAGCGCGTCTTAGTTCGGCGATCTCCGTATCTCGCGGATTGGTGCTGCCCATGGTTTGGACGGGCTGAGCTACCTGGGGACGTCCGGGGAGTTCTGGAGTGTAGACCGCGTTTGCACTCCGACTCGTTTGCAAACGGTTGATCTCGTCCATGGAGAACGCTTGAGCCGCGGCTAGAGATGCGAACCGAGCATCTGTTCGTGCGTCCTGTCGACCTAGATGGTCGAGGATGTTCTGGAGCAGTCGGTTTGGCTCGGCGGGAGTTGTTGCCGCAGCGTGCCGTTCTGCATGGTTTTCTTCGAGGTTCGTTGGACGTCGTCTGCTGGGAGAGGTCGGTTCGCCTTCCTCCTGGTGTGCCGGGGGCGTTTCGTTCCTTGCTGCTTCTGCTGGCCCCTCGGGCGTCTGAGGTAGCGATGCGGGAATAGCTACCGAGGTATGGGTAGCCTTCCTAGTCGGAAGTACTCCTAACGGGATCGGCGTCACCGTCTCTCCTCCCGTGGAGGATGCGTTGTCGTCTCGGACGCCCATGCTGGTACCCTGGTTTCCATCGGTTGCCATCGTGTTGTCGCGGGCTCGTTTTGTTGACTGGAGAAATCTCTGAGCTATCCCCCTACCTGGCGCGCCAACTGTTGATGCACGAATCACACAAGTACGAAATAGGGTTTCTCTAGGGAAGTAAAAAGAATCTCCTAAAACAATTCGAGCCGAGAGCTCAAATAGCGTTAGGCGAGCCGAGATTGGTGACTTCGGATTGAGGAGTCCGGGTCGTTGATTAGGCCGAACTGTAGGTCGTTTTCCGAGTTGAACAAAGCTTGAGGTCGCTTTCCTTTTCCAAACTGAGATCGGTTTTCGCGTCCTAGCCGAGCTCTTCGTGTCCTAGCCGAGCTCTTTGTATCCTTGCCGAGTTCTTCGTGTCCTTGCCGTGTCAGCGTGATTTTCGATGGATGTGACAGGACTAGTCGTCCTTCTTTTATACTTCTGCGGAGTAGGGCGTACCCTGACAGGTTTTACCGGTTTTGCCCTTGCGTCTGGTGACGTGGCAGATCCGTAGGGCGGCGAGGTCGTCTGGGCCTCGATGCCTTTGGGCTTGAGGCCTGCTTCGTTGATGGGCTTCTCTTGGATTGGGCCTTGTTTTCCTAAAACCCAATCTCTCCCTCAACAGGTATCTTGACATTAGCAGCTGAAGACAGAACTAATGTAGGCATTGGCCACATGCATGTAGGACACAGACTTCTTCTCAACACCCCAACATTTATTAAACTACGTCTTCCTAAAATCCAAATGCTTTAACTAATCTGTTTGTCAAAACCATGTCCTTGTAGGTCACACTCACAATTCATAGACATGTTATTTTCAATAAAACCTTTCTAACTCCACCAATATATATAGACCCACACATTTCCCTTAGGCTCATAAATCAAACTCAAAGCTTCTCTCATCATCATCAACTGTAGCGATTAATTCAAAGCTTTTGTTTTTTGTTTCTAATACTCGAAATGGCATTCTTAAGGAGTTTTTTTGCTACCAAGCAAATCATTCGCCGGTCTTTTACTACGGAATCATCATCAACGCCCAAAGGGTTCTTCGCTGTGTATGTTGGAGAAAACCTGAAGAAGAAGAGGTTTCTTGTTCCGGTTTGTTACTTGAACAAGCCATCTTTCCAAGCTTTGCTTAGGAAAGCAGAAGAAGAGTTCGGTTTTGATCATCCAACTGGTGGTTTGAGTTTACCATGCGACGAAGCTTTCTTCTTCATTGTCACTTCTCAGATTTGTTAAGCCCATACAATAATTAAAGATCTTTTTTTACATTCTCTTATTTATAGAAGAAAATACACATTGTAAATATTACACTTTTATATACATACTGATGAGAAGAATAATTCAACGAACATCATATCTTTTGCTTTCGTTTTCTATATTTACTTTAGTCCATAACTCCATAAATTGGATTGAAGGCAATATTATCAGCCACAAAAAGCTTAAATATTATAGGTTCTCTACTTCAGTATTTTCATCAAGACTATACTTCTTCTTTCTCGCATCAAATTTTAAAATATTATTCAAGACTTAAACCAAATCGGAAATACGTACAAACAAACCTAAAGGAAATATTCCAAACCCGCTAAAAAGTAAAAGAAAAAAAACATTTTGTAATGGATAAATCTCATGTTATTCAATCATGAGTTTTTTTAAAGAATTTTAAAATTTGGTGTTATTATTTAAAAATGTTATTTAAAATAATTGTTCTCTGTGTCAAAATCTTTGTGTCAAGTTTAATCATTGTTAAAAATCTACTAGTGATGAAGTTTTAACGATGAAGAAAATGACATGATTTACCATATTTATAAGGTTCTGTTATTCCTGATGCTCCTGGTGGTGAATCTCATCATCTAACAAAATCATTGGCTGAAAAGGTTGGAAAATTGGTTGCAGAGTATGTTGAAGCCATGAAAAAGGTGAGTAATATTATATGAACTTTGGTCTAATATTTTACCAAAAAAAAAAAAAAAAAAAAAAAACTTTACTATCTTAGTTTCAGTGCATGGTTATTTATGTTCTTAGTAAATCTTGTTCATTGCTCAAAAAAAAAAAACCAAAAAAAAAAAAAACAAAAAGTAAATCTTGTTCATTTGATGCAGGTTAAGATCACACAAGGGCTGAAAACTGCTATGACAATTTCGAGTGAAGGGAACTTTTACTTACACACTTGCAGTTAATTATATTCTCATTAACAAAAATTTATATTAGCTTTATTGGCTGTTCAATCTAACCAACATTATGTTGTTTTGTCCCATGTAGGAAATCGGATTTTGGAAACTTTACAAGGAAGATAACCTTTTTGTGCCTTTGTTATAAGAACTGTCACTGGTTTAGTGCACCTTCTTTCTCAATTGTTAGAACCTTTCATGCCATTATTTTCTCGTGAGGTTGGTTTGATTGCTTTTTTTTCATAACATTGATTCTGATTAGTTTTTTTCGAACGGAAGCGTGATTAGTGTTGTCTCTTGCATTTTGTAGGTATTTAAACAGTTACATTTGCCTCTAGATTTTTCCCTCTCTGACGAGAGAGGAGAGGTGTTACTAGCAAAGTAGACCTTTGGGAGATTCTGCCTCCAATCCACATGATAGGCACCCCTCAACCATTGTTTAGAGAATTGGTACATACATACATAGCTCTCTCATTTTAACCATAATGTTATCCATGTAGCAGTCATTTGAGTTATATATCTTGTGAAATGATATAATCACATAAAGATGAAGAAGTGCAACAATATGAAGAAATGTTCGCTAGAAGTTCTGGGTGAAAGGCGTGCTCATGTTGTAAATCTGTTTTGTTAAAACCGAAATAAATGGACTTCGGAGAGAGTTTCCATACAACATAGGATGTGCTTTTGTTAATGCTGTAAATGTTTTTAGGATAATGTTTTTTGTTACTTTCCTTTAGTTTCACAAAGTTTTAATGTGATTAATTCACTAAGGGGGTGTTATTGGTTCCTAATTTTTACAAGAAATTTTGATGACTTTAATAAAATCATTAGAAAATAAATAAATGAGAGGTTCTAAACTATTGCTAAAGAGTTTTCTATAATCTTGTTGATCTGTTTTTTTCATAATCTTGTAAAGTTTTCCAAATAATCTCTTTATATTGATGATACTTTTTATGACTTTATTTTGTGAAGAAAAGTGTAGAAAGTCACAAACTAATAACATAATAATTTAATTTATTAACAATCATAGATTTTTTGTTTGAATTGAATAACACAAAACTTTTAATGATTTTATAAAAATATGAATCTAATAACAACAGATTTATGAAGGCTTTAGAATTACTTTTTACAAATTTTAAATTAATAACACCAAACTTTAACAAACTTCTAAAAAATCTTTTTTTTTTTTGGTAAAAAAATTTTAAATTTTTTTGATTGAATAACAAGAGATTCTACATAACATTTAGGGGGGTGTATTGAAGAAAAAATTTGGAGTGATTTGAGTTTTAATGAGTTTTGAGATGATTTTGGTGAATTTTGGTGAATTAGGAAATTTGATATCAAAACTCTCCCAAATCCCACATAAAACCATGGGATTTGGATATTTTAATTTTTAACTAAGATGTTCTCTTAAATTCCACCAAAAATCACTCAAGTCATTTCAAATCCACAACTTAAAATGTTTCCAATAACAGTGGATTTGATTGTAGATTTTAAAATCACTAATCCAATAACACTTGATTTTAAAAAGATTTTTAAAATTCATGTTTGAATAACATAGAATTTATCATTTTAATACAAATCATTTCAAATCCTTTATTAAATACACCCCCCTTAAAGTCACTAAAACTCTATTTAAATCACAAATCACTAACACCGAGGAGTAAAGAAAGCTATTTGGATTCCAGTTTAGTTCCATACCAGTAAGATCAATAACTAGCAAATGCAATTCAAGTATTAAACCGGCCATTGATAAAATTCCGGTCCGGTCTAAACATAACCGGATCTATCTGAGACCGCCGTTACTTAGGTTTACTAGCTAAAAGAGCTTCTTCTCTTTCTCAGCCTCTCTGCTTCGTCTTTCTCCTCTATCTCTGACTCTTCGCGAAAACCCTAATTAGCTTTGTGGTCTTGTTGTTTTCGCCATGGAAGACGACGGCAAGAGCAACCCCAAGTTACCGATTCCTGGCAAGAGAAATATATTAATCACCAGTGCTTTACCTTACGTCAACAACGTTCCTCATCTCGGAAACATCATCGGATGTAATTTGAATCTCTCATCTTTTTTATCTGTATCAACTCATGTCGTCGTCTTCTCTGATTATACATGTAGTCGTGTGTGTTTGTTTATGAATTTCTGTTCAGATGCAGGAATCAATTTAGCTTTGAGATCATCAGAATCTAATTTACATTTCAATTTTCCAAAAGCTGTAGTTATGTGGACGAATAGAGACTCAAATTTCTGGCAATACTTTGAATTTATTATTGAGAATTTAGAGTGTGGTTCATTTGTCCTGCCTTTGAGGATGGCTATTTTTTCAGGTTTATGCAATGTTTTTGTGTGTATGTTTTCTTACAGGTGTTCTTAGTGCTGATGTGTATGCTAGATACTGTCGTCTCCGTGGCTATAATGCGATATATATATGTGGAACCGATGAATATGGGACTGCAACTGAGACCAAAGCTTTGGAGGAGAATTGCACTCCCAAGGAAATTTGTGACAAGTAATGTATCTTGCTTTCTTATTTTATGTTTCTGTTTGTCAGCATCTACTGACGAAAAGTAGATAAAAATTTTCTGTGATGACTGTTTATGGGATTTAGACGTGTCTTGAAGTATTCTTTTATCAGGGAATTTGAAATGTGTAGGTTTATGGGATTTGAATCTTGACAAGAATTCTGATTCTTAATTGTATATCCTTGTTCAAATTAAGCGAGAGAAATAGACACAAGTTTTCACAGATTGTCAGGAATGGTTTTTGAGAGAACCTTTCAGATATATCTTTGCTGGAGAACTTTCACCGGAGCATCATGTTTTTGTTTGTTGTTTTTGTTGTGAATATAGGTACCATGCCATTCATAAAGAAGTTTATGACTGGTTTGATATAAGTTTTGACAAGTTTGGGCGAACTTCAACTCCAGAACAGACTGAAGTGTGTCAAGCAATTTTCAAGAAGTTGTGGGATAACAAGTGGCTTTCAGAGAACACCATGCAGCAGGTGAATGCTTTTACTCAAATGCCAGTTAGACTTATTTGATCGCAAAAGCATACATATGTTCTTCGTAAGTAGAAGAATCTACACTTCAGTTAGTGGGGGTTTTAACTCTCATGTCTCTGTGGCCCATTGTATCTTCAGCTTTACTGCGATACATGCAAGAAGTTCTTAGCTGACCGGCTTGTTGAGGGTTCTTGTCCGTTTGAAGGATGTAATTATGATTCTGCTCGTGGAGATCAGTGCGAAAAATGTGGAAAGCTCCTGAATCCTACTGAACTTAAAGATCCAAAGTGCAAGGTGGGCTATGCTTTTCTTCTTCATGGCCATCATCCCATTAAGGGATTGTATATGTGTGGTTTTATACTGTTTATAGCACTGCATTACATTATTCGTAAAGTCTCTCTGGGACATTGCATGTTTCTTCATGCCAGTACAAATTCCCCTTCACAAAAAAGATCTTGAGTGTGAAATTCTTTCTATTGTAGAAATATCTAATTAACTTAAATGTTGAAACATGAGGCGCAGTTGCACTAGTTAATAAGTGAAGACAGTTATCATGCAATTATAGTGCTCTGTGGCCGGACAGATTTATTGCATATGCTTGTAATATATATTACTGGTAATAGCTAGCTGATTTTGTTTGTCTGGAGCATGCTTTGTTTTTCTGGTTTCACAGATTTTACTGTATAGGCCATTGTGTTTGTTGATTTGGCTTTCTACATAGGGGCAAGACTATGGTCTGTTATTATAATTACTGTGAATACTAATGATTTATCTCTCAAACAGGTCTGTCAAAACACACCCCGAATTCGTGACACAGACCACCTGTTTATTGAGCTTCCGTTACTGAAAGATAGGTTGGAAAAGTATATTAACGAGACCTCTGTTGCTGGATCTTGGAGTCAAAATGCTATTCAAACGACAAATGCATGGCTTAGGGATGGGCTTAGACAGAGATGCATTACAAGGGATCTTAAGTGGGGAGTGCCTGTCCCACATGAGAAATATAAGGAGAAAGTAGGAACCTCACTACCAGCCAATTTCATAAATATTTAAACATCAACTACTAATTTCAATCATGGTTATAGGTCTTCTATGTTTGGTTTGATGCTCCTATTGGATACGTCTCAATAACGTCATGCTACACATCTGAATGGGAGAAGTGGTGGAAGAATCCTGAGAATGTTGAGCTTTATCAGTTTATGGGGAAAGACAATGTGCCATTTCACACTGTGAGTATATAACATTTCAGAAATTTGTTTACCGCCAATGACTTGTGCCAATGGTTTTAATTATTCCCTCTGCCAATGTGTAAATTTGATTGTTTTCAACTGCTAATTTTTTGTTATGCAGGTGATGTTTCCCTCTACCCAGCTTGGAACTGGGGAAAATTGGACACTGATGAAGACAATCAGTGTGACTGAATATTTAAACTACGAAGACGGTCAGTTGATGTTTCACCATAGCTGAATGATTTTGTTTGATTTGCTTTTTCTGCCATTTATAGAAAATGAGGACATGTGTTTTGTATGGGTTTTCAGGAAAGTTCTCCAAGAGTAAAGGTGTTGGAGTGTTTGGTAATGATGTAAAAGATACAAATATACCTGTCGAAGTATGGAGATACTACTTGCTGACCAACAGGCCTGAGGTAACTGATTGCTGCTACAAAATGGAAACATTGTTTCTTCGTTCATCATAGGCATGCATAAATGTGTAAATGTCACCAACACTGATTGATTCTGGGGATTCTGCCTTCTAGGTGTCTGACACATCGTTTTCATGGACTGATTTGCAAGCAAAACTGAATGGCGAGTTGCTGAACAACCTAGGCAACTTTGTTAATCGAGTTCTGAGTTTTATAGCAAAGCCTAATAATGCAGGTTGGTTATATTTCTTTCAAATTCAATATTTAAGTATTTGGTGTTAGCTGTAGATGGCTTTTTAGTTTGGCATATCCAATATAAAATATGGGATGTGTTGTATTCTTTTATTGAAACCAGCCAGTTGGTGTGCAAGTGAGAGATATTTAAATCGCGGGACATAAATCTGTTGTCAAATGTTAGCTTGTGATTTTGGTTTTCAATTTTTTTGAACAAATAGGTAGTCTAAAAACTCTAAAATGATAGAAAGGTGCATCTGGCTTGCAAGAGTCGTTACTATTATGATTATCCTGCTAAAGATGTAACGTTCTCTGATAAGATTCCTCTCTTTGTTAACTTGTATGGACATGGAATGATTAACTGATCATATAACATATATAAAGATCGATATACATGTATATGTATATCTGTTCATACACTCTAGTAGATGGTCAAATGTTGCATTTGGCTTTCCAAGAAAAAAACTGGGCATGCGGTTTTGGGATAGCATAAAATATTATATTCTCTTAGAAACAGTTAGAACTTGTAGATACGAGAAACTTGCTAGGTTACCTGCTTTGTGATACTCTTAACAACTAGGGCAAGACTTTTCGTATTTGTCTCTGATGTTTCTACTGCGTTACTATTGCATGTTTTGTGAAGGTTATGGGTCAGTCATTCCTGATGCTCATGATGCTGAATCTCATCCTTTAACAAAATCACTGGCGGAAAAGGTTGAAAAGTTTGTGGCAGAGTATGTTGAAGCCATGGAAAAGGTGAGTAATGTTATATGAGTCTTGGCGTGGTATGGCTATCTGAGTTTCTGTGCCTGGTTTTTTAGGTTCTTAATAAATCCGCTGTTCAATTGATGCAGGTTAAGCTCAAGCAGGGGCTGAAAACTGCTATGCTGATTTCAAGCGAAGGGAACTTTTACTTGCAGGTAATTCTATTCTCATTAACAAACTATATATTAGCTTTGTTGCCTATTCAGTCTAACCTACTATATTGTTTTCTTGTGTCCATGTAGACAAGCCAATTTTGGAAACTTTACAAGGAAGATAAACCTTTGTGTGCAATTGTTATAAGAACTGCTGCTGGTTTAGTACACCTTCTTGCTCAGTTGTTAGAACCTTTCATGCCATCCTTTTCTTGTGAGGTCGGTTTGATTGTTTGTTTGGTAAATTTTGTTTCCATTTAGTCGTAGTAGAATGCCAAGCGTGATTAGTGCTGTCTATTACATTTTGTAGGTATTTAAACAGCTAAATTTGCCTCCACAATTTTCTCTCTCCGACGAGAGGGGAGAGGTATTACTAGCAAGTAAACCATGGGAGATTCTGCCTCCTAGCCACAGGATAGGCACCGCTCAACCTTTGTTCAAGGAGTTGGTACGTAGCTCTCAGAATTTATCTGTAAAAAGCCAGGCTTGTTGTATCTTATAATGCCATGTAGCATTTGATTTATATTGAAACGATCACAGGAAAACGATGAAGTGACACAGTACAGAGAAAAGTTTGCTGGAAGTCAGGCTGATAGACGTGCTAGGGATGAAGCAGCAAATTTGACAGATCAGCTTAATAAAACAAAACTTTCAGGTCTCTATTGTTATTCTCAAAATACTGTTACACTTTAGGCTTTAGGCTTTCAGTAACTTGCGTATGTACTGAACTGCTGTTTTTTCTCCCAGATGCCAAGAAACAAAAGGCATCATCATCAAAAGGCGGAGGAAAACCAAAACCTCAACCAGCTGCTGATCGTGAAATAACTATGGCAAGACTTGATATTCGAGTCGGAAAAATTGTGAAGGCTGAGAGACATCCTAAGGCAGATACATTGTATGTTGAAGAAATTGATGTTGGGGGTGGTGAAATTCGCACTGTTGTTAGTGGACTGGTCAAATATATACCTCTAGAGGAAATGCAGGTTTGTTCAATCAATCTCTAGTCATTTGTTTTCTTCCCGATATCAGTATGTAATCCCTTCTACATTCCAATTGATCTAATATTGTTTCTGGACAGAATCGTATGGTTTGTGTTCTTTGTAACTTGAAACCGGCGAAAATGAGGGATATTGTGTCGCAAGCAATGGTTCTTGCAGCTTCCAGTAGTGATGGAAGCAAGGTAAAGTGCACACGAGTCTCTGACCTGTTTGTAGTTCCGCTATTTTCGTTTCGATTGTGTAACAAATTGTTTTTGCTGGAAACCTTTCAGGTGGAGTTAGTTGAGCCCCCTGAATCTGCTAATATTGGAGAGCGAGTTACATTTCCCGGGTTTGAAGGCGAGCCAGACGATGTCTTAAACCCAAAGAAGAAAGTATGGGAGACACTTTTGGTGGATCTAAACACAAATGAGAATCTAGTTGCTTGCTACAAAGATGTTCCCTTCACTACATCTGCAGGTGTATGCAAAGTTTCATCCATCAGCAATGGCACAATCCGGTAAAAGCTTCCTTGAGCCATAAGTCATCTAATTTTCTCCATTTCTATCTTTCACTGTAAGGGGGAAACGAAACGTATTTCTGAGATTTTCATTTGAAAATTTGATTCTAATTACAAACAGGTTATTGTAAACTTTAAAGCTTGTTACAATTTTGGTTATCGATTGATGTTGTGGGAAACATTCAGCTTCTTAAATTGGGCCCGGACGCAAAGCAAGCCACAATTTCCGATTTCAAATCTTCTATTATGGTACTAGTTGATGTTTGGTTGATGTTGATATATTCTTATTTTTTAATAATCTAATTCTCGTGTTTAAAATCAGTCGCATCATTCTTTTTCTGGCGGGTCCTAATTTTTGGTCGCAGAATATTCAATCAAACATTCAAAGTGTTTTGTGATAAAATAACATATTCTATTTTAGTTAATCATGGATTTTAAGTCTTTTAACTGAACTAATGATTTTCGAAAACTATTTGAAATTCTATTCATTGAAAACATTTTAAGCATTAGATCTTTAAAAGATTTTATAGGGTTTCACGACAAATTAAAAAAAAACTTCCTTAAATTCACCCAAAATCAACAAAATCATATTAAAACATTAAAATTCAAATCGTTTAAAATATAGGGTGGAACGTAACATCTAATGTTTTAATCCTTGCAACTAATTTTTGGGAATAAAATAGATTATAACACTGAAACACAAAATATTGTACGACAAAAAAAAAAGTACTTTTTAAATTGTACTTAATGACCAAAACAACTATGATTTTGTTACTGATCTGGATCGTGGATATTAGAGGAGTGAACATGCTTCTAATTGATAAAGATAGAAACATAGTACTTGACGAAATGTGTCGTTTTAATTATCTTATATATATGCAAAGATTAATCTGTTGAGCATAGGAACACAGTTTGAGTACAATGTGTCTTACCTAGGAGTAGAACAACACCAAAACTTATCTTTTGTGTATACATGCATCCTTTGTATATAATTTATCTTTCGTTATTTACAAAAAGGGTCCTGCTTTTGGATATTTTGATATTATAGTATATGATCTACGAATTGAGTAGCCAAATTTTTTTAATTATTGACGAAAAACAAACTGATTTTTTTAGTGAGAGGTTAAGACTCATTGGATCTTAATCTCTTTATACTAGTTTTGTGATTAGTCATATTAATTTCAGTGGCGAATGAAACTTAAGTTCGAATCTGTGTTGATGTTTTGCGATTCCATATTATTAATTATATCAACAAGTTGTTTTTTACACAACTCTTATTCATCTTACTCTACAATTTGCGACAAGACTGTACAATTTTTGGTATGTACCAATAATCCAATATGTTACATCTTCGATACAGAAATAGATTGTGGTTCATATAGGTCTTGGATTCGTTTAAACTTTAAACCACTCAACGAATTAACAAAGTATTAAAGGTTTGTGTAAATTAAATTACAAATAGATAAAAACAACAAATGAGTGTGACTGCATGAAACCACTAAGGCATATACGACGTTAGAGGGATGTTGGGTAGGTGAAAGTGTTTTTCTATTCTAACACGTGAGGTTTCGTAAGTAGGTATAAGAGAGTAACCATTTGATTAAATAATTCGATTTCGGTTTAGCTCGGTTTTAGTTTTTGGTTTTGTTTGGTTAAGAAAAAATAAGAAACGTAGTCTATATATTAAGGAACTCATGCTGTTCAATGTAACACTCAAAAGTAGTAACAACTAAGAATGGAAGATATCATCATCGGCGTGGTGGCTCTCGCCGCGGTTCTCCTCTTCTTCCTTTACCAAAAACCGAAAACCAAACGGTACAAGCTGCCTCCGGGGCCATCACCGCTTCCGGTGATCGGAAACCTCCTTCAGCTTCAGAAGCTTAACCCACAACGCTTCTTCGCTGGATGGGCCAAAAAATACGGACCAATCTTGTCATACAGGATAGGAAGCAGAACAATGGTGGTGATATCTTCGGCTGAGCTAGCTAAAGAGCTTCTCAAGACTCAAGATGTCAACTTTGCCGACCGGCCTCCGCACCGTGGCCACGAGTTCATCTCCTACGGCCGGCGTGACATGGCATTGAACCACTACACACCGTATTACCGAGAGATAAGGAAGATGGGGATGAACCACTTGTTCTCACCAACACGTGTGGCCACCTTTAAGCATGTACGAGAGGAAGAGGCTAGGAGGATGATGGATAAGATCAACAAGGCCGCGGATAAATCCGAAGTGGTCGATATAAGCGAGCTTATGTTGACCTTCACGAACTCGGTTGTGTGTAGACAAGCGTTCGGGAAGAAGTACAATGAAGATGGGGAAGAGATGAAGAGGTTTATCAAGATTCTGTATGGGACTCAAAGCGTTTTGGGGAAGATTTTCTTCTCTGATTTTTTCCCATATTGTGGCTTTCTTGATGATTTGTCAGGACTCACAGCTTATATGAAAGAGTGTTTCGAAAGACAAGACACTTATATTCAAGAGGTTGTCAATGAGACGCTTGATCCCAAGAGGGTCAAGCCCGAAACCGAGAGCATGATCGATCTCTTGATGGAGATCTTCAAAGAACAACCTTTCGCTTCTGAGTTCACTGTAGATAATGTCAAAGCCGTGATCTTGGTAAGTATAATTAATAACATTTCTTCTTATCGTTGCTTGCACTACAAGTAATCGTTTGCTTGTGTTTCACTCTTATTTTTGTTATTTTCGTTCCAAAAGGACATCGTAGTGGCGGGAACAGATACCGCAGCTGCGGCGGTTGTTTGGGGGATGACGTATCTAATGAAGTACCCTCAAGTGTTGAAGAAAGCTCAAGCAGAAGTGAGAGAGTATATGAAAGAGAAAGGTTCAACGTTCGTTACTGAAGACGATGTTAAGAACCTTCCTTACTTCAGAGCCTTAGTTAAAGAAACCCTAAGGATCGAACCGGTGATTCCTCTCCTTATCCCTCGTGCTTGCATTCAAGACACCAAGATCGCCGGTTACGACATCCCCGCGGGGACAACGGTCAACGTCAACGCGTGGGCCGTGTCACGTGACGAGAAAGAATGGGGACCGAACCCTGACGAGTTCAGGCCCGAGAGGTTTCTTGAGAAGGAAGTTGACTTCAAAGGCACGGACTACGAGTTTATACCGTTCGGGTCTGGCCGGAGAATGTGCCCTGGAATGCGTCTTGGTGCGGCGATGCTTGAGGTTCCTTATGCGAACCTTCTTCTCAACTTCAACTTTAAACTTCCTAATGGAATGAAACCAGATGATATCAACATGGATGTCATGACTGGTCTCGCTATGCACAAGTCGCAGCATCTCAAGCTTGTTCCAGAGAAAGTGAACAAGTACTAGCGCTAATATATAGTCAAATAATTCTACGTACCCTCTCTGATTATGTTCCTACAGTGTATTCTGCTTCAATGTTTGGTTTCTTTATTAAGTGGCAGTCGTCTCTCTAAGTCTCTATCTTTGTATCTTTTTCTTCACATTTTCATATGAAGGAAGCAAATTCACATGGATGCCTTTTGTGATTCTTATATATCTCACTGAATAGCTAAAAAAAAATAGAACTACTTACGTATGAAGTGGCTAAGTTTTGAAAGTAGGAGTGGGCATATTGGTTTATTTTCGGTTTCAGTTCGGGTTTAATTTTAAAGTCTCTAAACTCAAACCAAAATTAGTTTGGTTCGGTTAAGTTTATATTGGTTTTAGTTCGGATAAAAACAGAAAAAAAAAACAATTAATAGAACAGTCATATGAAAAAAATAAGCAAGACGGATATGTAAAATTGTGGAAGCCCCCTTGGCCATTGGTTGACTAAAGGTTAATTAATGTTCCTACACCAAGAGGTCTGGGGTTCGAGTCCCAGATATTGCGATTTATTAATAAATTTGCAGATTAATGGAAGCAAATGTGTAGGTCATTTCCAACGATGTACAATTATAGCCGTTCGCCAAGATTCTACGCAAAGAGAAAAGTATCGTCAGATCGTGGATCATTGAAGGTATCCGTCAAGAGCATGAAGGAAGTATAGTCTATCGTGGATCTAATAAGGGTCGGAAGAAATTGTCCGTTGTAGAATCGTCTATGTAACAGTTATCATAATTTGCAATAAATAATAAATCTAGAGAGAAAAAAAAAGACAGATATGTAAACTCAATTATTCAAACAAACAACTAAGAAAAAAATTACATCCAAAACTAGCTAAAGCCCCTGATCACTTAAACCAACCTAGGGAAAAAAAGATTCAAAAAAAAAAAAAACCCAACAATCAAACAACAGTTAAAGTATATAAAATGATACCAAGTTATCAATACTAGATTACCAATAATCATACCAAAAAAAAAAAAAATACTAGAATTACCAATAAGTAATTTACTTATTTTATTTGACAAAAAAATATAATCTTCTTTATTTAATTGATTGGTAAATTAAACAGATTAGGTTATTGTTTCACTTTGGTTTCAAATCGAACCAAACCATTTAAGGTGAAAAAAGCTTAACCGTTCAAGTTGTGCATGGATTATACTATTATAGTTTGGTTTGATCTTGTTAAAATGCCCACCTCTGTTTGAAAGAATTTAATTTTAAAATTAATTAATAGTAACATTGTACAACGACAACATCTAATTGACAAGAGAAAGTGATTGATTGGGTCTTTAAAATGAAACATTGACCTCGTTTCTCTGGTTAGGCATGAGAATCAATAACCGGAGATGACCTTCTTGGCATAACTTGACCGGGTTTTTATGCTGTGTGAGGATTGCATTACTGTTTCCTAACAAAACATGAGCAATTATGTAATTCTCTCCTTTCTCACTTGCAAATTGCCATTCCCTCACTGTCAAGTTGAAATAGTCTTTCCGTGTAGAAACCGTTGCTTTCACCTCTACGTACTCTTTCTTACCACCCCGGTTTTCGATCAGTAGGTCGTAAGGTAAACCAGTTTCGCTCTGGTCGTTAACCCATCTAACCAGAGCCTCATTGCCGTATTTTGCAACAAAGTATCTATACGCGATTTCTTCACCTTTTCTACCGGTCTGTTGCGCTTGTGCAGCCCAAGGTGTGCCGGTATGAAGCTGATCTCTATCGCTGAAATTAGCTGTGAAGGAATTGTTCCATTCATGTGGAAGATTTGGGTTGAGGTGAATAGCAGCCTGATTCCCTGAGGTTGAGCCACTAATCATATGCATAGAATGCAATGGGTTTGGCTCACTAGCTCGTGAACTTGTGCCTGCACAATTATCATATCCAGAAACCAAGTTGGTATCGGTTTCAGTCGGTATTTTTTCCTCAAGAGCCTCTGTTACATACTCTTTGCTGCTGCTAGAGGCCAGCTCTTGTTTAGAATCATCAGTGTTAGTCTTGCTAGAACCACGTCCTGTTTTGGAACTTGAAGGTAACCAACTCAAGCGTATTCCAGCTTTCTTCTTCGCTTTAACAGCAGATTTAAGGGACCAGATCTTTTCACCATCAGGAATCTGATGAACTTTTTGACTGTTCAGAATGAATGAGTCCATTTGCTCCTCGCTCAACCCAGATTCCGCCATAGTTTTTATCAAGTGAAGGAAATTTGCCAAATGCAGATCAGGAACTCCGTTGAAAAACAAACGAGACAGTTCCATGAACATGGAATGGGAATCTAGACATGGTGTTGTGTACAGAGCTTTATCCTGAAGACAACGAGAACAAACATAATAATATCAGTAAAATTACATTATTACAAAACCATTGTCCCAGTCAAGAGGTTATGGCAAAATCTACTTGCATATAAACAGAGAGAAGTTTCAAATAGCCTCAGAGCACAATGTCACAGCCCCTACAATCCCAAAATATATTGGATAAATTGTTGCAAGAAACACAAACGAAAGAATACATACCTGCAGAAGAGCGCTGCATTTGAACTCCCTGTTAGAGCTAATGCCATGTTGCGGTATGACATTCCTATAGCATAACTTATCAACAACAAAGACTTGTAGACGTTTGACTTGACTATGGACTGTCTTTTTTGTTTGGGTGTACTTCTCATGATGAAGAGTAAAGATATATCGCTGTGCGTAAGGCAGAGCCCAGTTAACAAGTGATACTGTTACAGTATTATCTTGCAAACCTTCATATTTCGCTTCACGCTTTACCACCTGAAAAAAATACAGGAGTGAATTGGAATTGACGCCATGGAAACTAGTGTTACATAGTAGAAACGGAGACACATATATCAGTTCTACCCTGGTATATAAGCCCTTTTACAGATGATGGTTCTGCAGATGGTTTTGGAGTTAGTGCATCAACACAATTCAAGAAAGGCCTACTCTTGTCTTTCAGATCAAATCTAATGTCCCTAAGAAGCCCTTTTACATGTATAACTACGTGGTTAAATTTCAATATATTCTTGTGAAGGAGAAGATTAGTTACCTCAGAAATACTTGGAATGCCTAAGCTGTGCATGAGCCCAGACACTTTTGTTTGAAGCACTTCTTGCTCTTCGTCATCATTTTCCCCAAAGTTAATAAACTCAATGTTATCCTTCTTCTTAAATCTCTTCTTTAACTTCTCATCATCACACCAACATACTAGACCAAACGAGGAGTGCAAGGAAACCCACTTGTCATTTTCAGTAGGAAGTACAGTGTACTCGAGTTCTGAAAGTCTCTCTTTAAAATGAACAACATCTTCGGAAGATTTGCCAGAGTTCAAGTCATCACTCCACTTCAGGAAAATTTTGAAGACCTAAACATAAACTTAACACTTTAGCAAAGAAGAGCATAGATTAAAGATAAACAGAAGGACGATACTTAGTTAAGTAAATCACTTACAGCCTTGGCAGCACATGAGGGTGACACATTATGTGCAAACTGCCCTAGAATTTTAAGGTACTCTTGAAACGAAGGCGTCTCAGGTACTCCACACCCATTCACAAAAAAGTCATGGAGAACTGGATAGATATTGCACAATGATTTCCTACGCAATGGTTCCACAACGCTACTGATCTGCGAACTGATCTCTTTTATCTCATCTAAAACGCCAGCAGAATCATTCCAGTAAACATCATCAAGTGACAAGAATATTCCAGATACCATATCATTCTGCCTACTTCCATTTCCATGTGGTACAAATACAGACGGGATAGTATGAAGCTTTTCAGTTATTTTCTGCTTTGAATCAGCCATTTCATTCCACATATATTTGTAAAATCTGGTAATCTGAGAGATGCTGCAAAATTAAAGACAAAGTTGTTTGCTGTTAGAAAATACATCGGCAAAGAACTGACAGACTCGTAAGTCGTATCATCATCAAGGGTTTTTGGAGTCACAAAAAGGGGTGGAAAAACAAACACTTGACTAGAAGACACATGTTGTTACAATATAGAAAGAAAAACAGTTCATCTCAAAATGAATTACATGGACAATTTATCTGAAGTCCATGGACTCTGTTCGTATTTACACATAAAAGTCATTTAGAAAACGTTTAGAACTCAGTTCATGTCATCAGACCTAATATTTTAGTGCTAGAAATAAACAAATCACGAGCAGAATATCATTTATCAGCAGTAAATCATCCAATGCACGATAGTGAACAGTAGTTTAAGAACTTCCTTATTTGTAATAATGTGGAAAGAAAACAAGTTTAAAATGAATGTAAATCAGAAAATTCATCTATAAAAAGTAAGAGGCAGTGCTTAAAAACATAAGGACAAAGCTGAAATTGCTTCATAACCATACCTTGATTTGAAATTGTCTCCACAGTGTACCCAAGCTTCTAGGATTTCCAGAGCATCATCGAGGCAAACTTTGGTCTTAAAACCAATATCACTAAGTAATTTGACACTTGTAACCTGTTCCACAGTTTCCCAAATAGAGAGGATGAAAATAAAGAGAGGTTAGATATATAGATGAAAGAACTCCTCCGCTGAGAAAGACATTGTAGCAGGCCCATATGCTAGTGATCATACCAAGCAAAGTTTAAGATATTAAAACAATTTCCTATCTCACAAAGAACCCAAACCTCTAATACAATTTCAAAATCATCCATGTAATTTTATAAGGCAATACTCAAAAGCCAATTTATTCACTGCTTATATTAGAACTAATAGTTGTAATAGCAAGCACACTATAGCATTAGTAAAGCAAAACCAAACCAACCTTAGGAACTGCATAGGGAGCATTCATGCCAAGTATAGACTGCACATCATCACAATCATGATAGAGGCCTTTTGCAAGATGCAATTCGCTGTCCATGCTTGAAACTATCCATTGAGAATCACAAATTACCCTCATAAATGAAGATTCTGATGATCTGATGACACCATGCGTACCTGAGTTATAGTTAACAGTTGTTTTTTCATGGTAACATTCATCCCACAGTCTATCAAGGACTTCCATCAGGTACTTGCAACCTTTGCGGCCATTACTTTTGTGCAAGAGAGACAAGAGATTAACTAGTTCTGGGGATTCCCAGTCTTTAACAGTTAACTCAGGAGATAACAAGTTGATATCATACTTTTCACAACGTGAAACAGAATAAAACTCAGCAATGGTCTTTTCAACTTGAACCACTTGAACAAAATCCGCTATTCCAATCTCTTGAAAAAATTCCCGCCACTCCTTCAATCCGCATGCATAAAATTTTGATGCTGGATGTTTCAAGTAGGTACCATCAACCACATGCCATGAAATATCCAGGTTTTTCGTAAGCTTCTTCATGTTGACCTGGTTTCCAAATTCTTCACCGAAATGAATTGACCCCTCACCGAGCTGTTTCAACCCATAATTTGATAATACCAGAGCTTTGCTTCTTAACTCAGAAATAATGTAGTTCCTCTCATTATGACAAATATGACAGCTAGATCGTAGATGTGTCATCACAAAGCATAAGTAATCAACCATCAAACCCTCCACTGTATCTGTACTCCTTGCCTCAAAGGCTGGTAATATATGAACTTTGATGATTTCATGTGCTGACAGCTTTTGAACGCCAATTGCACAAAGCATGTTTACGAGGTCATCCACAGAGGATTTTTCATCAACCGAAGACGCCAAAAGAAGGGAATGATCAATGGTTCGGAGATTTCCATATAACACAGGAAATGCTTCAAATACATCACCAAGATCTAACCCAGTGGTGTCATGGTGCAACCATACTGCGCCTTCATCTAAAGCGGTGAACTTACCATTTGACAGGGGAATAAATGGGATCCTGTGAAGGTCATCTATAAGAGTCTTATCTATACCTAACTCTACATTACCATGCCCAGAAGAACGGAATAGTATGTAAAGTTCAGTAAGAATAGACGATAACCATGTAAAGCCCATTGATTGTAGACAACCATTCTTGTGACTCAATGAAGAAAGAATCTGCACCAAAGTCTTCGGTCCATAGTCTTCAATGCTCAGTGCCCTTGACAGGGAATCTGACAAAACAATATCTTTGTCCAAAAAGCCCAAAGCAAGATGCTCCTGAAGCAATCCATCCTTAAGAAGAACCCTTATCTTTTCATTCCAGTTTCTTAAAACCTTGCAAGGAGGAACCCATTCTTCACCGTCTCCCTCAAGCAGCAAGCAATTTGTTGTTCTCAATCTAGATATAATAGAACGAGGGAGAGAAGAAAAGAACCCATGCACTTCCCCAGCGAGAGGTACAAGCTGCATGTATGAGGACACAGCTTTACCCAGATTATGGGTGAAAGAAGGAAGACTGCAAAAGGACCTTAGAGCATCCACAAACAAACCCGGAAACTCTGACAACAGCCACTGGTTCCAAGGACTATCCTCATCAACATCCTCCCTTGATGATGTAAGAATGAAATCCCCTTGTATAATGAATTTCAAACCATAAGTTCTTAGAGGAAGAAAAGCAAAAACAGGTTCTTGAATCATACATGATCTGTAAGTTCCATCTTCCAGCATGTCAAGGGTGAATCCTATCGAAATCTCTGTTGTCTGAACGTCATCACGAAGATTGGCAGCCTTTAATTTCTCTGATGCCACAAACCATATCATGCTATTTTCCCCACATGAAACCTTTACGATATTATTGCTCACAACCTCTTTCCTCATGACCAAGAGAGAATCTTCAAGCACATTTCTGTATACTATGCACTGGAGGCGATGTAGGAAGAGTAATAAAGAAGGATGAAGGTCTGAAAACATAGGTTCAATGTGATTCACTGTTGTTCCTTCGGAATCAATGCTTCTGAAAGGAAGTGTAATGCAAGTGTTCCATCCTGCATCCTTCAGGTGTAAAGCACGGCCAGATAACATGCTGCTAAGCGATTCAATATCTTGAGGAGGAACAACAGTCGGCAAAATATATCCAATCTGACCCTCACTAATATCAAACTTGAAATGGAAACCATTTGAGTGGATCTCAGGAGCATCAGAAACCTGGAAAGTGGACCCGAGTAAAAGCGTTAGAAGGGATTATTTGAGAAAGAATTTGCTATAATTCGTTTAACAATTGAGGTCAAAGTTCATATACGCCTTTCAAGTGTTTTGGAGTAGAAAGAAATTCCAAGGCCTATTCTTAGCTTAACATACTATAATCCTAAACTCATTTAAGCTTGGGTTGTACATACCCGAAACACTGACTTGAAGCCAATTCCTTTCTTCCCTATGTATCCACCAGATCCTTTCTTTGTGGATTGACCAACATCACACAGGGCCCGAATGTTCTCAGGCATGAAGCCACACTCGTTGTTTAAAACAACAATCCCGGTCTTTTGAAGAATGAATGTGAGTGTGGGTTCCACGTGTGCAGGGTACTTATTGTCATCAGCATTTTGAACCTGAAGCAAAAATAGCAAGAGAGTAAGAGGATGACAAATGGAATGTCCATTAAATCTCTCCTGTTTACAGGAATAGTGATAAAGAGACATCTAACAACCTACGATATTGTCCCTCACAGGGCTAACAAACATTTGAATACTTATTAACCCTCCCAATTACAAGAATAATGATAGCGGATTCATCTACCAGTTCACAGCATAAGGGTATTGCTGAATTACTAATCATCTTGGGCAGAGTCGAAATCGGTCATAGGATACACACATATGCATAAGATTGCACCAACTATTTATTCAAACAAGCGAACCCAATTAACATGCTTGTAAGAAGATTACGAACAAAATAAGAAGGTAAGAGTTCTCACAAGTTCAAGAATGAAGTGTGAATCTTGTGAATACAATTCCTGGGACAAACACTGAAGTGCTCTTCCTAACCGAGCATGTTGTTTCTGCAGCATACTCATCTCAGAGCCAGAAGAAGTTAAATCTAACCCAAACTCATCCCGTCTGATTGAATCAATAACAGAGGCTGGATTATCATGAAACTCAGGCGCAGTCTGGGTGAAAGCCTCCCCAACAGAATCACATAAAGTCCCAGAATCACCAAAAGTGTGACAAGATTCATGAGGTTCTTTTTTGTCCTGGCAAGCCTTCTCTGATACGATCATGCATCTTTGTTCGGTCTGAATTGGGTCCTCCAATTCTTTTTGCACAGAACCTGCGACAGAATCTAAGTTGGACGAAGCACTCTCCACTATTGAAGAGTTCGGAGAACATGATGAGCAAAACATATGGTAATCACTAATCCACTCAACAATGCCAAGCAGCAATCCGGCATCATGCAGCATGATGCGTTGCTCTGTTTGCTTGCATGCAGACAAAACTCTTGTAGGAGCATCTTTAACAACAGAACGTAGACCTGGTAGCAAGATATCAACAACTAAACTGCGAAACTCCCCAGGTAAATAGCCCAGACAATCAAGAAGAAACTTAGAGGCAGCATAGTCACTTTTAGCCGCTTTAGTTTTCTCTCCTACAACTATCATTTTGTCCAAAGAAGTACTAAGCTGTTCTGGCCGATGCATTTGCACAAGAGAATTCCTATTATTAAGCTCCATCTCCTCGGAATGGTTATCAAAAAAAACTTCAAATGCACGTTTTGCATAGCATTTTAGAAGGGAAAACGGTAGATGTGTTCGTCCATTCAATGATATCAACGACAACAACTGTGCAGCAGTACAGTAAGCAGATCCTTGAAGAGCAGCCTCCAAGAATGAATCTGCTGTTGCAGAAGGATCTGTTCTGATAATCTTACCATCCCTTGTCACTAGACACAGCAGATCTTTTGAATTAATCTCATTTAAACAGCCCAAAAGAGGACCAAACTGTGGAGCATACCTAAGATCCCAGTGACACCATGAATTCAAGTCTGACAACAACGGAACCCTAAGCAAAACATCTAAAACCTCTTTGGATGCAACAGCATTAAGAGTGCTGCCTCTTGCTTCAGTATCATTCCCCACTGTCAAGGATTCTTCTAGATATTTACTGGTCAAAGAGTTTTCAGCTCCCGACAATGTTGCAGAAAAGAGCACACATTTAGAACAAGACTTCTCCTTACCAATGATTTCAGTGAAATTTTCCTCTGAATTTCTTCCGACAACCTTAAAATTGATTGACGGAAATTGTTCTGCAAGCAGTCGATTTACTGTTTGTCTAGATATCACATTACCACCTGAAAATTCAGAAGCTTGCGAAAGCAGAAGAGTCAACAGATTCTCATTCACGTGGACCTCCAGAGGAAACTCTTCCAGTAATTCTCTAGATAGAAACCTTTGAAGTTGTGTTGGTAGTAGTAACATATGTTTTTCCAAGAAAGTGAAAAACCCACCCCAACCAAGAGACTCAAAATCCTGTACTTGAAATTGCTCTGCCAACAAAACCTCGCAAGTCTGTAGCTTCCTGAAGATACCAATGTGCTTCTCTCCAGAAAGATCATGCTCAAAATACAAGGAAAGTCTTCTGATAATTTCTTCAACAGTGTTACCTGATAGATAACATTGATCAGATTGCAAAGTGCAAGAGAATTAACTAGCACCAAACAACAGCCACGGAAACTTGTTAGATAATGCATTCTAAGAGAACAGTTCTCAATCTATTATAGTTCCTTTAGATCGTATAACTTTGATAAATAAAGTACTTGTCATAATGCTACAGTGTAGCTTGACCATAATTGAGTAAGTATTTAAAACAATAATGAACCGAAATTCAGCATGCAGAGAGCGCAAATGGATAGAGGACAAAAATATACTCACTATGTTTAGGAGGCATAACATGCTGAGTTTTGCTTAACTCACTGTTTTCACTTGGGTTAATTTCACCAACTTGATTTCCTGAGCCTGTATTAGTCGTATCACTAAGGCTTGTCATTTGCAAATTATCATATATGCTATCCCACATTCCACGTTTTAATGAAGTTACCTGCAAATGTAGCATACGAAAAAATGAAGCAAAAATAAGACAATGGGTATAAGAACTTCATTTTAAACAAATTAGAACCCAATGCATGCAAGCAAATGAGAAAATACCAGTAGAATTGAAAAATGTCCTGCTTTAACATTTTCTATTACAATTAACCATAACATGAAATGCTTCCAAAGCAAGTTAGCTTTCAATTTAACAGAGAATATTTTCAGTTCTTTTTTGCTCAAAGTAAATAAAAAGGTATATCCTTTCAAAACAACACAAAAGAGAACTCTTTCAATCCACAGAAAAACATCTATACTTTTCCTCCATTACAGAGAAAATAGAAGTCGATCTACACAAAACAATTGCACTCTTTAGCCAAACAAGATGTGACACATTTCGGTTTTTTAATCTATATCCTACATTTGAAAAATACATCATATTTCTTCATTTTAGTTGAACAAATCAACAAAACAAATTAAAAAAACGAAGTAAAACAAATTAAAAAACTTAGTAAACAACATCCATAAAAAAACTCCTGAATAAAAGGGGTAAAATAAAGTTACTACTCAATTACGGCAAACATCTGAAAAAATTTCAATCAGCAAAAGTAAATGAAACGAATTTGATCAAAAGTAAGAAAAACAAGATACAGTTGCCTGAAACAGATTTCCCACTGCCCCTAAAAGACTCTTGCACTGTTGTGGTTTTAATTTCTTCTGATTGCTAGGAATAAACAAAGAGAATTGAATAAAAACAATGCAGACACTTCTCAACCATTGGACAAGAAGCTTTTCACAAGACACAGAACCAGGTAAAAAAAATTGAGATGCTACAAACTCTATGTTAAATTTCAGGTGTAAAAAGGATAGCAAGGGAATTTTCATAATAGCAACATCTGCGACATTAGATGTTAGAAGGTTTTCATTAATTAATTTAATAAGTGGGGGGCTGGAGGTGACAAGGGGCACGAGTTTTGAATGATCCACAGTCTGTAGTATTTTTATCCTTATCCAGCTTGCCTCAGTGACATAGTGATGTATCAAAGAGCAAAGCTGAACTAGGGAAGTTTCCACATTTGCTGAACCCAACTCCAAGAGTTTGCAACTGGGTGCTAAGTCTTAGTTCAAGAGCAGGGAGGCTTGGACCACACAGAAAAAAAAGAGCACAAGGGACAGAAAAACAACAAGAGCAACAACAACTTAAAACCAACTAGCTGTAAAAGTATGAGTGGAAATCGTCTAGCTTTTAGATATAGCATTTTTTCAGAATTTAAAAAGAAGATATCACAGAAAATAGTGATCCTGTGTTACGCGGTGAAACTATCAAAAATCTTTTCAAACTGGGAAAAGCAACAACAGTGCAAAAAAAAGAGGGAAAAATCAAAAAATGGGTAAAGAAAAAAGTAAAACGGGAGGGTGGAGCAGAAAATGAGTATGGATGTAAATCAAGATAGCAAACGTGATATAATCTCGCATCCTTCACTTCAGAAATATATCTGCAGTTTTTTCTTTAATAATGTTTTGATGGATAATTTTTTTTTTTTGAATGTAGTAACCAAACATCCATCTGTTCTATCCAAATTAGGAGATAGGAGAAAACAGCTATTTCACAGAGAAAAAAAAACAAGTGTTGCAAAGAAAAAAAAGACGTCAGATTAGGAGGACTTGACCTCCAAGTACACTTAATGTGGACGGTATGAACAGAAGTAAATATAAGGCATTAACCGAGAATTTTGACATAATTTTTCAATTGAATTAATGAAAGCAAGAAAAAAAAATTGCAAAAAACTTTATACAAAAGTAGTATGACCACTCACAGCGACATTTAGTAATCCAACAAACGGAAATGATGACATTGCTTTAGCTCTTTTAATCTGAGCTCGTCCTTCAGAGCCCCCCAAGTTGTAAAAAGACAACATTTTCTCGACAAACTACAATAATAAAAGAGAGTGTTAGAAAATAAACAAACATTGAGGCCTTTCCCACACCTAACTTAAGATAATTAACTCTCACATTCAAGCAAAACAATTTTTTTGATATATGATTCAATTAGTCATCCAATCTCAACATGAACTTACCGTTGAAATGCTTAGCTCTTTACATGTGTCCTTCCAAGTTGAAATGAACAATCTTAAATCTCCTTCAGAAAGTGTAAAATCAGCCTCATCGACACTGAAAACCTTCTTAGCATCAGAATCATCAGTCAATCTAGGTATCTCTTGTTTCGCATGTCCTTGTAATTTAGAGGGGGATTTTCTAAGCAGTTTGGATGAATCAGATTTTTCATGATTACGTTTTTCACCCTTCCTTTTCTTATTGGAGCCACCAAGCCGCTTCATCTCTTCCGCAACAGATGGATATGGACAAGTATTGAAATGGTCAGAACTATTCTTATTTCTAACCTCATAACAACTATCATTGTCATCTGAGCTTGATGAATCAAATCTTATATGCTTGCCACAATAATCCTTATGATGTAAAGCAAATGAGTCAGCCCGCTCAGAGACAGTTAGGGGTTTATCTTGTCGTTGTTTCTTTGATGAGGGGATCTGATACTTCTGATGCAGCTCAGTAAGTAAGACTTTCAATGTTTCACCTTCTTGTCTCTTCGCGTCTAGAATGAAAGATACATACATCCTATAAAAAAGCATAAATCACATATCATCAGCTAATGCAGTTCATACTTAGAACAACCAGATCCAACATTAAAGTACCAAAAAAGAGAACATATGCAACTAATTCTTACAGAAGTATTCTAAGAAGACATCTCCTGTGGTAACATATATAGAATCGTAAAATTTCACAAGAATAGGAAACGGAGGTAAAACTGATGTGCACAACCCAACTCCATTCAAAATTCAGGAACTGTACATGCGAGCATATAAGAGAAACCCCTTTCTACATAACAACAAGATATCAAACCAAGAACACATCATTAGCCTCAATCTATTACTATAAACTTTTTCCCCATTTAAAGAGAAGGAAATCAAAAGCCAAGTAACCAAATTTCAATTTCTGCATACAAAAAATCAACAGATTTCAGGCATTCACAAACTCGCAAATAAAGCGCTGGATTTTTGGGGGAAAAAAAACTTTTAAAACCAAGCTTACTGTACTATCAAAATGATTTAACTCATAAGAAAGTTTAGGTAATACAGTAAAAACCATATCATACCGCAAGCTCTGAATACGCACACCAAGCTTTTCCTTGCTTGTAACTGATTTTTGGCTTGCAACAAAATTCAGAAATTCATCGAGCTTAACATCTTCTGTCATATAAGTGTGCAGATAGCTATCAAGAAATGATATTATCTCCTCACTAGTGATCTGAACCGGGCCAGTAGAGCTAGATATGGATGGAAAATACAGCAAGACTAGTGGATGCTGCAGCAAAGGTCCCAATTCCAAATCATCAAAAGAATCAACAAACTCGTTCCGGCATATTGCCACTTCCAAATCATGCAGTGTCACAATTCTTCTAGCCCCAACGAAGCAGTGAATAAATGCATTGATCTACAAGACATCAAGAGATACATCTATAGGCTATTGACAGAGTTTAGACATCCAAATATGAATAGAAAGAAATTTCCGATGCTTACCTTTCCTTCAATGGCCATTAGTTGACGAAGGGAAGGAACATCTTGCATTTGCACACCCAAAGAACGCCAAGAATCAGCCTGAAGTTCTTCGAGAACCGCTCTCGACACTCTAGTCGAAGATACACTCTCTCCAGCAGCAACAACTGATTTACGCGTCTTGTTCACAGCCTTATCAATCCGCAAGACTTCAACTTTTCGCTTTGGTTTTGCGGATGACTTCTCTCCATGGACTCGAGACACACCACTATCATCAGTTGCTATAGGGATCGGTAGAGAAACACTGAAGGAATTATTAGCACTCTCACCGGAAACAAAATTAGATTTCGGAACTTCTCTGACGACAACATCCTCCTCCTCTTGTCGTCTTCGTTTCAAGGAAGAGCTTTCGAAAGCGCCGTGATTCTGAGAGATACTGATATCATTATTAGGAAGAGATTGAGGAGGGAAAGAGAAGCTGCTTTGAGTATGGTTTTGAAGGAAGAGATTAGCGGCAGACCCAAATTGGTGAGGGATTTGTTGATGATGGAAGTTGAGATTCTGATGAGGTTGGAAATTAGGGTTTCCGAGAGAGAAGTCAGGGAAATTAGGGCGGTAAAAATTCGCCGGAAATTGCGGCAGGGAGTATCCAATGGGTTGATTGAAATTGGGAAACACAGGATTCGTTTGATGAAGGTATCCTCCACCGGGAACGGTGTTGATGTTGATGTTTGCGTTGCCTCTGCGGCTTCCACGAACTCCACTATTCGTGGAAGCGTTTAGAGGCCAGGAACCGTCGTGGTTCCCTTGCATTCGTCGGCAAGGAAAAAGCGACAAATTAGAAGGAGAGAAAACGGTGTGGTTGAAGAAGAAAGGGTTTAAGAGCGACTGTCTATATATACGGCGACAGTGAGTCTGTGTCTCTCTGTTTGCTTCGGAGGGTTAGGGTTTAGGGTGAGGTTTGTCCGGTTTTAGATTCAATTTAGCAAACCGGAAATCGTTTGGGTTAATTGGTTCGAGACAATTTCGTGTCATGGGTTTAGTTAGTAAGTTACCCTTTGCAATGTCGTAAGAGATTACCCATGTGTTTTGAAATATGGAATTATTGGTTCATGGATTTATATGGAATTAGAAATCCAAACAAAAATCATTTGTTATTCAATCATTGATTTTAAAATCCTAATTAAATTCATGTGTTATTGGTTCTATGATTTATAAATACTAGTTAAAATCATATGTTATTCGTTTAATCATTTGTTTTTGGATTTGAGAATCCAAATTATGTTTTAAATGGAATTGAATGGGAAAAATAGAAGGATTCAAATCCATGGGTAAACACATGTTATTTCAAAATCCATATATCTTGATTTCATAATTAATAGAAATTTTCAAATTCTATATAAATTTACAAATTAATAAACCAATAACACCCCCATAGTGTTTTGATAGTCTGCCAATAACAACTAGCGGTATCCAAAAGTGATAATCTTTTTTACTTTTTTTCTTTTCCCATCGCTTATTTTAAATGTTTTCAATCACCAATCGAACCGAAAAATGTTAGGTCGATAGATTACGGGATAGAGTTTTAGATCAATACTGGATTATGGTGTAGTTTACTTTGTAATTAATATTTGATACAATTTTATAATGTTGATTATGTCGTCGATAAGAATATAAGATGAGAGGAGCACAGGGTCATGAGTTGACATTATGTTATTTTGGAGCTGGACAAAGATAATTGAATCTACTAGTAAACAAAAATAGCTAGCTTGATATAAAAACAAAGAGAGGTCACACTGTATTAGTAAATTATGAGAAATTGCAAGTTTTTCGAACAAAGAACATGTACCCAATTGAGCGACGCACCGATCCATTTTTCAATCTTCAACAGAGTTTTAGAATTCTCCAAGAAGAAGATAGTAAGCAGCAAGAACAAAATAAATCAGAAAAGAAGCAAAGAGGAAGAAGAGATAAGAGTATGGATAAAGAAGAATCATAATCAAGAAAAAGAATAGTGAAATGGTTCCACATCTCATTTCTTTGTTTCTTCACTTTGTTCTTCCCAAGTAAATTCTCTTTCTTGGAACGAAAAAATGAAAAAGAGTTTTGACTTTGTACAAATAATTATCAGCAACTACTTCTTGATTAAGCTTTACGGTTATTTTTAATCAATAATTTACCAAATCAAACCAAGAAAGTTTCGTAAATTGATCAAAGCAAAACATATCCTAAAACTCTCTCTCTACTTATAACTCTGTTACACAGTAATAACATCATAGTCTTTAACACTGAAGCAAAGGTTTGATCTGAGATTTTCTCATGCAGCTAAAATTACCTTACACAATAATGTACAGACGAAAGTTGCAGAGTTTATAAAGGAGTAGGGAGTGAAATATTATTAACCTGAAGATTTTTATTTAGTGCGTAATTTGTCTGCCACATAGAGCATGTGACTGATATTTGTAGGAGGATAGTTCTGAAGAAGTTTGAGGTTCGACGTAAAATCTCCAGCAAGCAAACGCCTTCGAACTAGAATCAACATTGCACAGCATATCCGCAGTAGCGTTTCCTGCAAATTCAATTCACTTTCACTTGTAAGCTTTTTTTATCTCGCAAGATAACAAGCGCCCGTTAACTTAATTCTGCTAGCTTAAATTTTACAGTAAGATGCAAACCAAAACTAATCTCTAGGACTATAACACATAGAAATATGTAGATATCTGCCAATAAGTTCCCTACGTGCATATGTTTTACTGTCCTAAAACACAGCTGCTTATAGGTAGTTAAACGTTTAATGACTCACAAGAATGCAACATTTTAAATTGACCTCGTTCACGACTTACGGAAGCTGAATAGTAATAAAGTGAATACTACCTGAGGACCTTCGGGGTCGCTTAAGAGTGTGTCCCAGATGTGAAGGCTTTCCACGAAATTGAACTCTTGAGTCAATAGGAGTGTGATCCATCTGAATGCATAGAATTGCGGGTTTATCTGAAAATTTGACACAGGTCTCATATGTCAAAATGCTGAAACAATTAAACAGAAATACAGAAACTCGAAAACTTAACATTTTGAAAGCTATGGTACAGTTTTTGGTTGTTTTCAATCTCGTAGTCAAGGCAGATTAGGACTGAAAGTTTCAGCACAACATTCATGCAACACATAGCTCTGAACCAGCAGCAATACATACTGGCAAAATCTTCTATTCAGAGACATAACTGATGAATATAGCAAGACGTTTCATCAGCCAAAGTTGTGTGAGATATCTTACTTTAGTTGTGACTTCTAAATGACGCCAAAGTTCTTCATCATGATGCTTCAGGAGCAACGACAGTCTTGTTATAGTGTAACGTATACCCACAACACTGTTATCAAGTTGTTGACAGAAATTATCTCGAAACCCACTCATCAATTCAACAAAACAGAAAAATGCATCTGATTCAGCATAAGCCTGCATAACTTAAAATGCCAGTGTTAAGCAAACAAGGACAGCTAGTGGTGTGTTACCGAAAAAGAACCAAATGAGTACAAATCAAATAAGAAAAAAAATGGTACATTGGCAAGGACAAGTACTTACAGCATTTCCTTTATCCGGGTCATTTTTAAAGATGTAGAAAATAGGTGCCAATATCTCATTCATCCCTTGTACATATCTGATGCCAGGATTCAACTTTGCGAAAATAGTCAAAATGTTCTTCAAAGCATCCTGAAGATGCAAAACATGTATAAAAGGACAAGGAAAACTATCAGTATACAGATGTTTTAATCAACACAAAAGCTTTAAACTATTTCTAAACCAACACCCAACCTGATTAGATTGTGCAACCGCTGAATCCCCAGAGAAAAAGTGCATGTCTGGATGAGTACGCATCACATCACGGTCTATTTGTTCCAAGACTTCTGTGTCCTGAACAGTATCAACTTGAAATTAGGAAGGTCATTTTGCAGCTTTATATGCAACAAAAACGAAATTACTATACTAAACCAGGAAGAGAAAATGATCTTTTCATAGTGATCATAACTCATAAGTGTCGCTCATGAGTCATGCTACGCCTATGAAATAAACACCATTTTGATAACAGTCTGCCCTAAGCATTTTGCACAATTTGACAAGGCACCATATACAAATATTTAACTGTAGCAACCTTAACTATCTAAACACATAAGAACTGAAGGTATAATATTCACAGGAAAGTTGTTTATCAGGCACTAACTCAGAGGTTGTACTTCTCCAGTTCCTATATGTCTCTTTAATTTGCCTTTAAAACCAACTGGGAAGTGGCAAATCATGTTTAGTGAATAGAAATCAAATTTACTCAGCAATTACATCCCAACATCTGAGAATCATATAACTCAGCTACATGATCCATAACACTTATAAATCTTTCAGGAAAAATGTGAGAATTGATAATTATATTTGTGGATATCTCAAGTTTAATCTTGCCAAATCTCACAAAAATGATAATATTTGTGGATATCTCAAGCTGCAAAATCTAAATACCTTGAAAAAATTATTCCACAAGCTTGTTGTTCCAAGACTTAAGGGATGATCCTCATGAGTAATCTCTGACCTTGAAAGGGCACCAGGGCTTTCGATTTTTGGGTCATTACTATCACCGCCCTTTGATTTATCCATTTTCCTTGTTACTTCTGACTAACTAGCCACAAAAATATATAGAAACCAGGTTAATCTTAAATTGAAAACAAAAACGGAACATGAAAAAGGAAGAATTATCATCCAGATAACATAAGCACCTCTACAATGACCGACTTCTTTATCATTAACTACTATATCTTCTAATAGTACCTTTAGGAAGTATCACATACCCAATGGCCCTAGATCAGTCTGCTTAGTCCATAACACCTATTTAGCTGACATCATATTATACGTACAAGTTTCTGGATCAAAATAATAAAAAACCATGCTTCCCCATTGAACATCACTAAATTCTACTTGGCCAACAGATCACCTAAATGACAGTCATCATCTTCTATTGGCAGTGCAATTTTATCAGCACGCCCTTAGCTAGTGGCAACAGATATGCCACTATGTCTACTTCACTGCTCATTTCACAACGGTTAGCAGAAATGCAACTGTGTCTTATTAATAAGAATGGCATCCACTCTAATCACAAGTTTGATGGACTATCTCCATGAGCAAAAGAGAACACTGATTAAGTTGGAGTATCAAATAACCAAAATGGACTTACAGGATTCATCAGAAGCTCCTCTTTGAATTGCTTGTACTGAGACCTTTTCTTAGCTAACTCAGAAGACCAGAGAGAGCGATCCGGTGACAGATAACCCAACAAAAGCTGTCACATTCAAGAGAACAGCATGAAGCATAAACTGACAGAATAGGTAACCGGAATCTGTATCCACTACATCTTTCTAACACTGAAAACATGTACCATTTCCATACACTCTTATGGATTTCATGAAACCACACAAAGAAAACTCAACAAATCAAAATGGATTGCATTACTAAAAGTAACAATAATGATCCCTAAACTACACATTCCCGTAAAGAACAACATCCAACATTATCTAATAAGCTAGATTGAAACTACGCGAATGCGGTTACCTTCCAAACAATGGAGCGAATTCCAGCATCATCAGGTAGACCTTGTGAAGCAATTTTCCTCAATTCCTTTAAGTCTATCACCTTCTTCGATAACTGACAATATCCATAAGTAAGTAAATCACAACGATCAATCAATCAAAATGCACAGAGCAGGAAGGTTGTTTTGAGCAACTAACCTCAGCAACGACCTGCGCTTTTCGAGAAACATCTTCAACAGAAGAAGCTGCGGGAGTTTCGCTTCCAGCTCCATCATTACCACTCCCATTCTGCAAATCGTTAATCTCAGATTTGGAAGGAGGACGAACAGGAACAGGCGAAGCTGGTGCGGTGGAAATCGCCGATGGAGAGGAAGAAAAAGGAGGACGCTCGACGATCGGAGGAGATGGAGGGGTGACGGAAGTGGCCGGAGGATTGCGGAGGTGGCGATCGTCGATGAGAGGAGGAGGAGGAGAGGAAGACCAGAGAGAACTGTTGAGCCACTCTGGGATACCTTTCTTGGCCATGGATTTTGATTTTGAGGTTTGATTTTGGAAATGTTTGACGGAGAGGTTAAAGTTGAACCAAATGTGTAATCTTGTCCCGGTACAGCTGGGTCATGGTCAGGCCGTCGTTTTTCGTTTGTAAGATAAACAAAAAAAAACAAAAACAAATACAAAACCAAAATTGCAAAACTGTTGTAAATAAGTGTTTAATTTTGGTGGTTATAAATATAAGTAATATAAAAAAAGAATTATACACGCATAAAAATTGAGATATATTGAAATAAAAGAAAGACGAGAAAAAGAGATTTTATTATTATTTCTTTTGTAATTGAAGTTGTGAATTGTGACTTGTATCGATCGAATTTGATCGCTGCTTATATACATGTATAAAAGTAAATTAATAAACATGCATAGTGACAATGAAATCTACACAAAATAATATTTAACATACAATGTTTAACGTGTGTGCATCTATTGTTGACGTTTGTTTTATCCTCCTTTTCTGACTTTCGTAACAAAAACAAATTATTATGTTTTATTAAATAAAATAGTAATATAAAAATGATAAGAGTAATTTCCAAGAACTTATGATATGACTTATCTTTGTAAAAAAAAAATCTTTTATATTAAAATTTATTGGGAGTAATTTTTCGATTGCTAAATAACTATATGTGAAAAGTTGAGACCAACAAACCAATGTTCCTCGTGACACACTATGAAAATAGAGGTTATATGGCAACTTTTCATGTATCATGGAACTCTCGAGACTACATATCCTATCTTTCCCCTTAGGTATACTATACACGACCTATCTATCCAAGATAGTTAACCAATGATCGGTTTCGGTTATACGTAATTTTAACGAGTATAAATTTTAAATGGGCCTAGTTAAAAGTGGACTTAAGCCCATTAGTGTCCAAAGAAGAAAACAATTGACTTGTTAAGCTAAAGGACTTTGCTTGCTTTCGCTATCTGAGACTGAGACGCAGAAAATGGCGGCGGCGGCGAAAGCAGCGGTGGTTTTGCCACGGCCGGTGACGTTTGTGACGGGAAACGCCAAAAAGCTCGAAGAAGTCAAAGCTATCATCGGAAATTCCATTCCTTTCAAGTCTCTCAAACTCGACCGTGCGTACCCATTTCAATTTCTCTCTCGAGATTACTGTTTTTTTCTATTTTCTCTTCTTCTTGAGTCTCATTGCTTTAATTGTGTATTGCTTGAGTTTTAGTGCCTGAGCTTCAAGGTGAGCCTGAGGATATCTCCAAAGAGAAGGCTCGTTTGGCTGCTCTTCAGGTTCACAAGCTTTTACCTTTTTTCTAATCCTCAGTTCTATTACTTGAATTGATTACAAATGATTACAAAATCATCATACTTATGTTTATGTGTAAGCTTGCTTCTTATGTACTGTTCCATTTTTGCTTCCTTCTTTTGAATGTGGACTAGTAATAGTAAGTTAGTGACTAAGGATTGTTAAAACTGATATAAAAGTGTGTTTTGATTGTATATGAGAAGGTGAATGGGCCAGTGCTAGTGGAGGATACATGTCTTTGTTTCAATGCTTTGAAAGGGCTTCCTGGTATGATCTCCTGTAGATACTAAGTACAGCAAATGGTCACACACTCTTTGAATTTATGTTGATTTCGTTTTTGTTGGATTTTTCAGGGCCATACATGTAAGTTTTGTTTCATCATTCTTCTCCTGATTCTGTTCTTGTAAATTTTTTATTTGGAGGATAGAGTTGCTCCAGTTCCACTTTGTTGTGATGAAGGTTCAACTATAAGTTCATAAGGTTAAGGGATAACAGACTTAGATATGTCACGGTGATATATTTTTATGTTGCTCTTTATTTCTGAAGCTTTCTCGAGTGGTAATGTCTTGGAAAATTGTTTGGTGGGGTTGGATTAAAACCTGTTCTTAGTTCATCTTGGCGGTTGCTAAGTGGTGTGAGTGATTAGCCAAATGGAGTTATCTTATTATATGTACTGATCCTGGATTTCTTAATTTGTTGCTGGACTGATCGATATTAGATTGAATTAGCGTAGGAATAATTGTATTGGAGCTATGTTATTGTCTCTAGAGTTCTTCTTTGTAGCACTTTTGATCTTCTTTTCTATTTTTGCAGCAAGTGGTTTCTAGAGAAGCTTGGTCATGAAGGTTTGTAATAACACTTGTTTCTCTCATCTCAGCATTTGTTTCATTCATATCATACACTGGTAACACCCAATCCTGGTCTGACTCATGTCCAGGTCTGAACAACTTACTGATGGCCTATGAAGATAAATCAGCTTATGCCTTGTGCGCATTCTCTTTCTCGCGTGGTCCAGGTGCTGAACCTCTTACATTTTTGGGGAAAACTCCGGTATGTTCAACATTGTCACCGCTGGCTCATTTATCAAACTCTCTGCTCCATCTGCTAGTCATTTATTAGTTCTGTTCTTTCTGTGTTTGTTAATTGTCAAAGTTTGATATTTTTTTTCCCTTGTGATTGATGTGGTAGGGTAAGATAGTTCCAGCAAGAGGACCAACTGATTTCGGATGGGATCCAGTGTTTCAACCTGATGGATATGACCAAACGTACGTCTCTGTTATCTCCCAGAAAACATTGTATTAAACCTCGATTTTTCGGATATTGTTAGAAGGGATAACTGAGGATATACTACTTGGTCATTCTCTATTTTGGTTGTAGTTATGCAGAGATGGAAAAGGAAGAAAAGAACAAGATATCTCATAGGTACAAGTCTTTAGAATTGGTGAAATCTCACTTTAAGGAGGCTGGCTATGTGTTCCAGACAGATGATGGTACCATCTAAAGAGAACCAGAATCCAATGATCATTGTCTCCAGCTTTTGAAGATTTGAACACTAATTACTCACCAGATTCTTGTTCCTATTCTAAGCTCCTTTTGGGGTATTAGTATTGTGTCTTTTTTTATTCCTCTAATACAAGTAGAAACCATGGATTGAAATACATTGTTTGGTAGTATCGTTCATGTTGTTCATTAAATACTGTGATGGTGAGATGGTATGAATATGATAAACCCATCCGACCAAAAAGCTGAAATAAATGTTGGATGGCAAATAAAGGGGAATGGGATGATATCATGTTTCACATGATTAGCCGTTTGTGATCACACAATGTATTAATGAGAGCACAGCCAGTGGGTAAAACTCCTCATAATCTCTGATCATATTCAGATATTCTCACATGAAAAAGCTTATGAATCGGTTCTCTCACATGAAAAAGCGTATGAATTGGATCTAAAAAGAGTAAAGAAGATCCCAACACGTAACGTGCATCGCAGGGAACAGAACCACTAAAACCTCAACCCCAAAAGAAGAAACAAAGATCACATCAATTATTTGTGGGTTTGGGATTACATCACATGTTAGTGTAACTCCTTTTCATTTACTCACCTCTCACCTCTCACCTCTCAAGTGGTTTGCTTTAGGTTGCATAAAAAGATTTAAACAACTTCGTCATCCATTGAAACAAATGGTTAACAAGTAACAACCAAACAAAACATAAAAGCCAACGGAAGTTGCAATCAAACCAAAAGCTTTTCAATCGTTTGTAACAATTTTTTGCAACTACTATCACTAACTTGAAAGGGAATTAACAAAAACAAACACCCAGACAGACTCTAGAACTATGGGAGGATCCATTAAAACCAAAGGACCTTAACAACCCCAAAAACAAAAGCAAAAACTAAAACCGTAAGAGAATTGTAAACTATAAGAAGGAAACTTTTTGAACAACGCTTCTGTGCTTGCTCCTCTCTGCATTCCCACCTTTTTTTAAGAAGACGAAAGAAGAAGCAAGCCGAGGTTGACCAATTCCTACCACCCGGGAGAAAACGGGAAATGACCGTCCTAAGAGGAAACAGAAGAAGAGTAGTACTATATATGTACCTTCCAAAGATATGTAGAAGGGTTTAGGGTTAGGTACTATGATAGTGGTATAGAGAGAGACGACTAACAAGGTCTGCCCTTACGGCAACCTAGTGCTCCTGCAGTAGAGGTAATAGTGTCGACCATAGATGATGGTTTAGCTGCTAAGCTTGATGCTCTTCCATAGCTAGCTGATGCTCCTGCTCCTGATGGCCTGAAGAATGCTCCATTCAGTAGAAGGTCTCCTTCTGACCTCCAATTCCACTTCTTCCACTCACTTGCATCTGTCTCCACTCTTTTCGTCACCTGTGGATCCACAATTTAATCTTGCTTATACATATAGCAACCTCTTATCTGTTTAACCAAACACAAAGGGTTTAAGAAGCTGAACCTCTTTGGCGAAGCGGTCCATTGGAGCAGCATATCTGTTTCCTTGACTGTTGATGGTTGGCTCTGCACTCCCACCAATGGCGTACATCTCCCAGTGTGTGTAGTCATTGTTAACCACATGGAAATACCCATGTCTGCACCTGCATTACCATTACACAACCAATTTTCTACTGTCAGAACAAATGGCAACTTCATTGGATTAACAAGTTGAGAACAAATAGTGACCTTGGCATTCTCTGAACTAGTCCTTCTCCAAAATGGTTGTAAGCAATGGTCACTTGCATTAGCTTATCTTTTGTGTACGAGTCACTGTGCCCAAGCAACATCACCTGTATACATACATACATAGTGTCATGAAAACAGAATCAGCCTATAGATTTAGTGTTTTGAAGGAGGACAGATAACAAATGAGACCTCATTGTGGTGGGTAAAGTGGTTATTGGAAACAGTAATAGCAGTAGAACCCATGACAGCATCAACAAGGCCATCAGCACAGTGAGAGAGAGAGTTATGATCAATCCAGATATGAGATGATCCAAAAATGGAGACTGCATCACCATCAGCCATTGTCCTCCAACCAAAGTGAGATGGCGAGCTTCTAACCATTGCATTTCCAGTAGGCTTGCAATCATGAATATGAAGTCCATGAATGATGACATTGGTTATAAACTGAATGGTGATGCAAGCACCATTGGCTATATGGACATTGGAGCCACGGCCATCAATGGTCTTGAAACTGTTCATGATCAGCTCCTGTTTCAGCTCTATAACCATATCCCTCTTGAACACAATCCACAGAGGCTCCTCCTGGATGACAGCATGGCGTAGAGTTCCAGGTTTGGGATTAACAACATCTTCATCAGTCGGGTCAGTAACAACGTAGAAGCGTCCATCACGACCACCAATTGCGTTCCTTCCAAAACCAATCCCACAATCCGCAAGGCGTTTACGGTTCTTGTGCCAGTTACGGTCACAACGCCAACAGTCATCAATTGGATTACCAGTTCCACATGAGAAGAATCCTAGCTTCCTTCTTGCTGTCCTGTTCTGTTCACTCCTGAAATTTAATACCCCTAAATTTAGTTACATCTCATGTTTGATAGATCAATCACTCACACACAGAGACAAATCTGAGAAAATAATTCAAAAAGGACATTTTTTTTTACTTTCACCCAAATCTACAGGCTGATTAAAATTCTCACTATCTCAGCCGCCGTGTCTATTTGTTCTTACCTAACGTAATAACTAACGAATCCAATTTTTGTTAATTTATGAGGTCAACAAAGTGGTTGTCGAATAAATCCGAGAAAATTCCATTAAATGATCAGCTGGTGAAAAACTAAAATAGACCAGACCATAGTATATCCAAATGAAAGAGACTTCAAAAACATAAATGCCACAAACAGACGACAGAAGCAGTTACTAAACCAACCTCTTCGTGTAAACCCCAAATTCAGTCACAGAGAGAGCACAAAAAAGTGAAATCGAATTAATGAGTGAAGGAAGAAAACCATAAATTAAAACAAACAAAACAATGTCCGTGCAAGCAAGCAAGCATACGACTCTGACAATCGCGAGAGCATGGTGAAGAAACGACAATGTGTCAGTTTTATGCGAGAGAGAAGGGTTTCATGTCAGTTTTGTCGTTTCACGATGAAATTAAAAGAGAAAGAGAGAGAATTGTGACAGACAAAAAATAAAAGCAAAAGTTTTTCTCTTACTACCCATTAATATTTAAATTAATAATACTATGCGTCTGTGTTCTCTAATTAATTTCATTTTTAAGGTTCACGTGTGTGTGACTTGTCGCGTCTAAAATGAAATCGCAGAAATCAGAAACGCTTATTAATGCATTCACACAATTATAAAGAAAAAGAGAGAGAGAGAAACTCACATTTGAACAAGCTTAGCGACTTCATCAGCAACCATATCTGGATCAGCAGCAACGGCGTGTTGTTGTTGTGGTTCACCATCAAGCCTGAAACAAAAAAAAATAAACCACAAATGACGCGACCAACCATAAACTCATACATTAACCAAACTTTATGACACGTGTTCTCATCCCAACGGAAGTGAAATTCGATATGTGTGTACACACAAGAGAATGACTAATTTACCCTTGGGTGAAGAATAAACTTTATCGCGGTTAGTTATATACTGACGTGGAATTTTAGGATAAAAAATAAAGTTGTATAGAGTGAAGAGACAGAGCATGTGTGAGCGGCGATGAATGCAAACCTCTCTCTACGCTACATTCGAGGAATCAAAAGACCAAAAAGGATTGGTTTAACGGAAAAATGGATCCGAGGATCTTAATCCAACGGCTAGGATCGTTAGTTAATTTTCTACTTTATTTTTAAAATAAATAAAAAAGGATAAACCCTAGCGGTTAAAAGCGCCTTTCGTGTTTGTGAGCGGCGGCAAAAAATGAAAATCGAGTTTTGTTCGCTTTTTACCTTGTCGCCGCCATTGTTGAGCTGTTTAAGCTCTGAAACTCCTCTGTTTTCAGCTTCCTAGTAAAACCAAAAACCGGAAATAACAGAGTATTATTACGAAATCTGGAGAAGTAATTTCCAGTAATAGAGATCAACAGCTAAGATCGTTTGTTAATTTCAACTTTATTTTAAAATAAAATAAAACCCTAGCGGTTGTTATGTTTGGATCTGTACTAAAGTTTTACCTTGTCGCCGCCATTGTTGAGCTATTTGAGCTCTGAATCACCTCTGTTTTCAGCTTCCTGTGAAAACCAAATACCGGAAAAACAGAGGATTATTACGAAATCTGGAGCTTAAAATTGAAATCTTCCATAAAAACAGTCCAAAAATGTCAAAATCCATAAACAGAACGTAAATCTATGGAAAAAAATAAGAAGAATCGTTGAAAGCGAGATTCAACAGACAGAGACGAAAAATATCAAAATCCTTCCCAGAATTTGACAATGCAGCTTAAAACGGAGGCTAATAAACAACGAAACAGAAGAAAAATAAACATAGAGAGAGAAAAATTGAAGATTCGAGAAGAGAAAGACCTGGAGAGAGAGATTTCACTGTTCCGGAAAATCATCGCCGTGAGAGCTAAAACGACGAGCAGAGCGACACAAACACTGATCAGTTTCTGAGAAGACGACGCCATTGGAGCTTCTTCTTCTTCTTCTCTAAAGCTCAACGAAATTTTCTCGCACTTTTCTGGGAAAATAAGCGGGAGAGAGAGAGGAGAGAGAAAAGTAGAAGAAGAAGAAGAAGAAGAGTGACAGATTTAGTGTGCACAAGCTCCAAGGAAACCGTCTCCGTTTATATATACGCAAAAAAGCAACGTTAACGTTGCCGTTAGTTAATACACGCCGCTACTTAACGGGATATGTTTGTTGTTACTTTTTTATCTCACGATCTTAGCCGTTGATTTGTGAGATCCTCGGATCCGTTCCGTTTCCCTAATTCTAACGCCGTAAATATTAACCAAATCCTCATAACTGCCGTAACTGCCTCTTGTCTCATGTGTATAAAGTATAATCCTCTTCATTAATCATTATTATTAAAATTCGTTCTGTAGAAGAATTAAATCATCGATTTTACATTTCTGTATTATAAAAAGTTATTTACTCTCACTAACTTTGGTTGGGTTTCTTAAACGAATGATTATTTTCTTGATCTCATCAAGATAGAGTAAATAAATGGAATAATTATAGAACAATTTATACAGCAAATAAATATATTTTAGATAAAATGTGAAAATTAAATAATTATTTTACGTGTACAGAGAAAATTAATGATGTTGGTGAGATAATCAAATAATGTTATGTAACATGGAAAAAAATTGTCTTAAGACCATTTTGTATT